CAGGGACTAAGGTCTTGCTATCATTTCCTTTTATACTAATGGTTTTGCTAGACTTCCTCTAAAACCAATCATATGGCTTGGTCAGGCTCAGAGTCCCACATAGGTAATACATTAAAAGGTGAACTATAAAATGTCCTTCTTCACATCAATCTTGGTTGAAAGTTGTTTTCCTTTAGTATTTCCTTGAAATACTTCACTTCATGCTCTCCTTGACTTGAAGGTTTGTGCTGAAAAGTCAGCTGTGACTCTGATGGGCTTTTTTTTTTTGTGGTCTTTTTGAGACAGGCTCTCACTGTGCAGTTCAGGCTGGCCTTGAGCTCACTTTGTAACCCAGGCTGGTCTCCAACTCACAACGATCCTGCTGTCTCAGCTTCCCAAGTGCTGGGATTACAGGTGTGTGCCACCTTGCCTGGCCCTGATGGGCTTTAGTTTATCGGTGATTTGTTTCTTTTTCCTAACCGCTTTCTTGTGTTGAGTTTCTGGAATCTTGGCTATGATATGCCTGGTGTAGATTTTTGTTTTGGTTGTGGCTAATTGGAGTTCTGCATTCCTCACTTAACTGTATGTCAAATTCTTTTTCCCTACCAGGGAAGTTTTCTGCCATGACATCTGTGAACAGTTTTTTTTATGTCATTTGTGCTATCTTCTGCTTTTTTCATTGATTCCAGTTAATCTGAAGTTATTCTTCTTTGCCTCATCTAGCAGCTGCTAGATTGATATCTCATGGTCCCTTGCAATTTTTTTTTTTAACCTGGAAACAAACTCAGGACCTCAGGCTTGCCAGGCAGATGCTGTGCCCCTGAGCTAATTCCCCAGCCTAGTCCCTTCCTATTTTTAAGAAATCTTTCTTTTCTTGATTGCTAACTGTAATCATGTCTTCTGTATCTGAGAGCTTGTCTTCACATTGATTTAATCTGCTCTGGATACTTTCAATGGAATTTTAATTCTCCTGCATATTTGCTTGAATCTTTCCTATTCTGAGCATTCATGGCTTTCATAGTTTCCTTGAGTTCCTCCATTTTTCAGTCTGCATCTGCTTTACAGTCACTAAGCATGGTTGGTTTTCATTGTGGGCACCATCTCTGTAGTTATCTGAGAAATTATCCCCCCCCAAGAGTAATTATTTCTGATTTGATTTTTTTCTAGAGCCACATTCAATTCTTTTGTTGTTACCACTTCAGAGAGGCCAGGTGGGTGGCTTTCAGACTGACCCACCTCATTGTCTCCTGGGTTTGCCTTTGGTGAACTGGACATCTGGGATTGTATCTTGTTTTCATGTCTTCTCATTTTCCTTTCTTTTTTAGTTTAATTCCTGGGGGTGGGGTGCTTGTAAATTGCCTATGGTCTGTTGCTTTATTGCTGGTATTTAGAACCCTTAGGAAATGACTACTTTGAGGTATCTTCCAGGTGTAACTGATTTTTGGGCTTTGAGTCTGTTGTAAGATCCTATCCCTTCAGTTTGTTGGGGATGAGAAGTTACTGCCTGTTTAGCCCACCCCATTGTTCTTTGACACTGTGTCACAGTATTTTCTATGACCCCTAGTCAGTCTCAGTCTTGGAATACCAGGAAGAATAGCTGTTTAGAACAATTATGTCACTTTTGGCTATAGTGGTACCATCAGCAATAACAGTAGCATCAATCACATCCTAGAAAATGACAAAGTGAGGTAACCATTAATTTGCTGCCTTTAACTGTATGGACTAGATTTGTGGTTACATAATAAAATCTAAACACACCAGAAAATTATATGTAGTATGTAAGTCCTTAACATGTCAAGTTTGCCCTCCAGGGGTTAAAATTTAAAAGGGGGTTAGGGAAAAAATAGAGAGGTAGAAGAGGAGCAAGAGGCTAGAAGTAAGGTTGGAGGACAAAAGGGGATCACACTACCTTTGGGAAACTGGTGCAGAAGACTGGAGGGAAAGAGAGAAGGAAGATATAAAATGAAGAACAGAACCGAAGCGCAACCGCAGAGAGGCTAGAAACCACATTCACACTTATATAAGAAGATCAAACAATAAAGGAGAAAAAAAAGAAAAAAGCACCACCACCACACCAAGAAACAAACATGAGAGAGAGGCAAAAAAAAAAAAAAAAAAAAAAAAAAAAAAACCCCCCCCCCCCCCAAAAAAAAAAAAAAAAAAGAGAGGAAAAAAAAAAAAAAAAAAAAAAAAAAAAAAAAAATCCACACCTAGGTTTGTCTTTGCTGTCACTGGTAGACAACATGTGGAGACAGAGTCCCGATCCATGTTGATTTATCCCAGCAAGGCAGCAGTATTTGATAATCTCAGCAAGCCTGCACCTTCTGGCTGAGACCAGACTCATTCAAACTGCAGGCATGAGTGCACCTTCCTTGGGTCTAAGCCCAGCTGGGAGCTGCTAGATGGAGCTAGTAGCTGCTCTGAGTTCTGAGTTTAGCTGGCCTCTCTCCAAGATAGCTCCCAGCAAACTGCTCAAGAGAGCACAGGATGACTGAGCCCTCTATACTCAGGGCCAGCTAGTGCAGTCCTTCATGTGTGCTGCTCCTCCTGCTGCATCTCTCTGTGGAGGCCTCTGAGGTTACCAGAAGTCACCATGTGTCTACAGGTTTGTTTTGGTTTTGGTTTTGGGTTTGGGTTTGGGTTTGGTTTTGTTTTTTTTTTGTGTGTGGTTTTTTTTTGAGGGTCGCTGCAGAATCCCAGCCCAAAGAATACCTCCTTTTCTGGTATCATCCTCGGGGATGACCCGACTGGACTGCCTGGGAGATCTGAATATGCCTTGTTGTGGAACTAGAAGGCCTGTATCTTTGGGCCTGAGTCCTGATCGATGATCCTCGTATGTGTGTATTATTGTTCACAGGTTTGTATTGCTGCTTTTGCACAGTGAGTCCTGACTCAGGGAGAAAGCACCACTGGCTGCCTCCTTCTTCTTCATTGAAGCTTCTCTCTTTACTCTCCCATTGGGCTTTAATTCACTCTTTAGATCCTTTTTGTGTCCAGCGGACTCACTTCACTCCTTTTTGTCTTCCTCATATTGCTATATTCCAGCATCTGGACAGCAACATTCAGAGAAGCTGTGTCTCTGCTGCTTAGCACTTCACCATCTTGGTGCTCCTTTGGATGATGCGTTGGTCATCTTTCCATTACTGGGATTAAATACCTGATATCTGAAACTTTGCACAAATTTATTAAAATTGTTATGTTTAATCTTCTCTTCAATGAATATCCATCTGATTGCCTTTCTGAGGTTAAACTGTATGCCCAGTGATGGAAGGAAGTCCTTAAAGACTTCAGGGTAGCAAGGGTTACCTCCACTTCCTCAGTCGTGAGTTCCTTCAAGAGGTGAAGTTCAGTCTTCCTGCACTGTCCAGGATGATTTTGAACTTGGGCTCAAGTTATCATCTTGTCTCAACCTGTCTAGTTGATGGTGATATCAGAAACTTAAAGGAGAGATTTATTTGGCTTATGATTTTAGAGGTTTCAGTCCATAGTCTGCTGGCTCTAAGGCAGAAACCTGGCCAGAAGGTACAGCAGAGGAGAGAGCCTTTTAACTTACTCCAGGAAATAGCAGGGTCAGAGCCTGAGGGGTAGAGGCCAGGAACTAGAAACAGTCCCCAGGGTCACATGCCCATGATGTACTTCCTCCACGCAGTGTACCCCTCCTGATGGTCCAGTCGGAAGTGATCTTGGCAATGTGTTTATCACTTGGGGAGGGCAGGGCCCTCACAGCCCAGTCACCTTTGCAGCCATCTCTGAATCCAGTCAAGTTGACAATCGCAGTTACCTGGCACAGACACTGATCTTGTTCCATCACCACGTGCTCTAATTTTGTGTCTTTTGCAATTGTGCTGGGGTTTGGCAGGTAGTGGAACAGCTTGTAGAACGTGTAGCTTCACTCAGCCCTTTAAGCTGAGTAGGGGCAGCCTTCTAGCCTTTCCCTGGTTTGGCTTTACTACTGTCTCCCTGGTGTCCTGGTTGGTGCCATGAGGTTGGAACCTTTTGTCTTGGTGTTTCCTGGCAACTGCTCCTTATTTGGCCTGTGGGCTCCACCTAGGTTCGTGAAGATTCATCCCAGGGCTGCAGGACCTCCCTGCTGACCTGCAGAGCTCATGTTCTATGTGGCTTTCTCCCTGGACCCTCAGCCCTGCACTGTTCTGCTGACTCTGCCCCTGGATGCTCCTCTCTGTTGGGGTTGTTGTGCTCTGCATGGCCCCACCCTTCACCAAGTTCCTTACCTTCCCCCTGTAGATGGGGCTCAGCATTGGGATTTGGTCAGTTGGTTGTCCTGTTTCAGGGAACACATGTGGACTGCCTGTTTTTCTGTGTCAGAAAATCACAGCTAT